GAAAAAAAAAAAAAAAAAAAAAAAAAATCAAATCAAAATCAAATTACGCGATACTCATTCGAGTCGCAGCAACAAATGAGGCCACTGAAAAAAACAGTAAAAATAAAAATCAGATAATGTAATACGCACACTTATTCCGACGTGACAGAACGCATTCAAAGGTTTAGTTTGGATTTTTAACGATATTTTCGATACTTCTTCAGTAAATAAGTTTAGTTTACCTGTTCTAAAAGCACATAAATGCGTTTTATATCAAAGTAAATAAAACGCAGTACGGATTCTCGCGAAAACTACTTAGACCAGACTTATAAGTAGAAAAAAAAAAAAAGAAAAAAAAACGACCGCCACTACTACACACCGCCGCCGTTACATGTGTTTTTTTATGTCACGAAAAATCGTCATCCCGTGTATAGGTACCCGCTGCGGAGATAAAATTCGTATTGGCGAAAATCTGTTCCCCGTAAACGTTACACTTTCGCCTAAAATTTTTATTTTTTTTTTTTTATTATTACACGGACGGCGTGTGTACAATATAAAATGGCGGAAATAAAACGGTAAAAATGATTTCTCCAACGCGACGGTAGTAAATAAAACATGTCAAATGTATACACGCATTCCGACATCTGCATGTTTCGCGATATATCCATTCCCATATTATAACTGCATATAGAAAAAAAGGTTTCGAAAATGCTACAATAAATCTACTGGTTTTTTTTATTTATTATTATTATTTTATTTTATGCTTTTAATTAAAATTGTATTTGTATTTGCCCGCCGTCACATAAAATATGGATTTACATTATAATCTCTGTTCGAATTTGGCATCGAGAACTTTTCGTTCCATTTTATTTTTTCCATTTTAATAGAAATAAAGTGTTTATATTGGAAATTTCACCGTACGAATACATTTTCAAATCATTTTGTTGAGTCCCGGTGGCCGTTATTAACGTAATTAACATTGTCGATTTATTCACATGAGCGAAACGTCATTATTTACACATTCGATTCTGAGCTTTGTGAGGAATTTATGGTTTTACTATGACGTGTGTTTTCTTTAGGTTTTGAATTTTTATTTTTCTACCGAAAAACTTGTTTTAACAAAAAAAAAAAAAAAAAGAGATAATTCTTTAGTGGCATTTTGGATCCAACCAAATGTCGGAGAAAGTTGTTTTCAATGTTTTTTTTTAGGGGTTTTTAAAAAATTTGAGAGAACCCGGGGAAAAACACGTATGACAAATATTTTCTCTTAGAATGTAGATGATTGTCAAATTAATTTCTCTACGGTCCTTTTTTGTTTATGGTAAAAATATTGCCGCAAAAAGTCTCGTTATACCGACATTTTATGTCCCATTCCCATCAAATTTTCAACATGTACATTATTTCGTCTATTTTTAATGAAATTTAAATCTTTCATTTTTTTTTTTCTTTAAAAAAATCTAAGATTAGTCTAGAATAATATGTATAGAATGATCGGAAGTTTCGTCGTACTTGCCAAATACCAAAAGTAATGTACCGCTATTTATTATTCACTATACGTAATATTATAATATTACGCGTCCTAAAATCATTAAATATTAAAACAATGATTTATAAACGAGTAATATCAAACAAAATAAATAAAACGAGATCGGAAATATTTTTTTGTTTTTGTTTTTGTTTTGTTTTTTTTATCGTTGGTGGGAGTGTACTATTAGAATAACGAATGTAAAATATTGAAAATTGTAAAACTCGAGCTTTCGTGAACAAAAACCCGCAGAGTGGAAATAGTATTAGTTATGTTAAAACCTGAAGAGTATTCGAAATATATTCATACTTTAAGCACTCGAGAAAAATAAATAAAACGCTCCACCCGGCAGTATACGTATACATATAGTAGGTATGCCTATGGAACGCGAGAGCTTTTTGTTGACATACAAATTTCTATTATATTTTTTAATGGTTTACACGTTTATATATCATCTAGTGCTGGGTAAAAAAGACGTACATACGAACTTCGAATATATTATAGTGTAGAAATATACATTTTGTAACAATAACGAGTAGGTATTTCATAATTGGATAAAATTTAAAATGCAAACTCAACTATTAGGCAAAAATGTACATTGTATAGTTGTCGGAATTCAAAATTGTTTGTGTCCGATCGAGATTATCTAGTTGAAATCGTATGATATTTTCTTCAGACCGACGTCACTATATTACAGTAGGTTCCGTGCAATTCGAATGCGTTCAATTGTATCGATTTTAAATGTCGGACGAAAAATATATAACAGGAGATTTTTAAATTCGACAGTCTCAGAAGAGAGAGCCGTCTATGTTCGAAATTCGAATGATATCAGATTTCAAAAAAAAAAAAAAAAAAAAAAAAATATGTTTAAATGAAAATAGTTTAATGTCTTAATCTTAAAATCACGTTTTCGTTCTGAACCGTTTTTCAATACGTTTGTTTACTACATATTATTAAATCCAAGTGTTGCACGTTCGTATGTATCAAATGCGTGAAGTATTCGTCTGCTTGTCTGTGCGTGATGTAACGCTGAATTCTTCTCACGCAATAGTTTGAACGTGTACATACATAAACGGACGCGAGGGCCCGCGAGAAACCTCCCCTTTAAAGTGATTGCCACGGGGTTTACGGTATTTTCGATACAGAAATTGAATGCATTTTGTTGATTTATGGATTATTTATGGGGATGGGAGAATAGATCTATTTATTAGGTGTTGGTAAATTAATTTTTTAAGGGCGGGATAGCACAAAAACGGTTTATTTTGATAAGGGTGGGGTAGAGAGAGGAGATATGACAGAACTAAATTACACTTATTTTAAAATTTATTTTCAAAAAGGATTTTAAAATGCTTTTAAATGATCGATGGAGGTGATAATCAAATTGGCACAGGCAACATAAATAAAGGAAGCTATTGTTTTTTTTTTAAAATAAAAGGTGGGAATCGAAACATAACTGTTATTGAATCAGTAAAAAAAATTATAAATATATTCATATTTACATTACTCTTTGTCGATAAGCGAAAATTTAATACATTTTCAATATTTTATAATATATACGGTGCCCATATAATATATAGAATATGTACACGGGCACACGGACATTTCGAAACACGGGTACACGTATATTTTAATAACATGTACTTAAACATTGTTTGATAAAGACAGACACGTAAACGTACTTGTTTTTAAATACACGTGATATAGGGACCCCTAGTACCTATCTATAAACTCGTATAAATAAAATATCTCAAACTCAAAGGTAAAGTATTCAATAAAACTTTCTTGAAATATCATATTAATATTTTCCTTTAATCCTCCATTATTAATTCAATAATAAAAATTTAAATATTATTAATCAATTTAAATTGGTTAAAATATATTACTAAAGAGTTTTTGTAGTTTTTTTTTTTTTTTTTTTTTTTTT